TGGGGAGAAAGAGACTCGGAAGGAGAAGGTACACAGTTTTATTTAATGTCTCATAGGCGCGCTCATAGGTCACTGCATTTTTTTACAGATTTACAGGTATTGTTGTCTGGTCTGCTAAAGTTTTCTCTGCTAGGCTTTAAAGAGGAAGAGGTATCTGAAAGTGAAAGCATAGGTATGGTGGCAACTTAATGTAGGAATCACCCTGTGTTACGAGATTTAGATTTAGAATCCTTTAATTCCTAAGGCCATTTCAATTAAATTCATTTATTGTTACATGTCCATGCATAATAAATTGATTGGTTAACGCAGTGGCTAGTATAGGTCCGGTAACCAAATTTGTCTGGCAGAACTATATGTCCGGCAGTATGTTTTTCTCTGTAAAACAACCTTGTGCACATGCGCATTGATGCAAATTGGAACTTATTTTTATCATGGACTTCTAAGCTAATGAAGGACTTCTAAAACCTAGGGGACACTCTAAAACTAAACCCTAAACCAACCTTGGGGGCTCCTAACATAACTACGGGAACTCCTGATATGACTATAGCAGTGGCGGATATGGGGGGAAGCCAGGGGGGCAATACCCCCCAAAAATTTTTCTGGAGTAATGTAAACTTAGGTTTACCTATGTAAACTGTGAACTATGAGCAACTGCAGTACTTAATACCTCACAAGCCACTGCATTTATTACAGTTATTGTTGTCTGATCTGCTCTGGTGTCTTATAAGAAAGGAAGAGGTACATAGGATCTTTCCTCTAATATCCATGTTAAAAGCGAGGTTAAAATCAAAATGCACGAGGCATACGAAAAAATAGGCATGGATTGAAAGTGGAAATTGTTTTGTAGAATGCACTCCTGTATTAGGAAGTATATATAATTTTATGAATTTTTTATATGGGCAGGGCGAGGCTAGGAAGAGCTTTTTCCTAAGGCAGGTGGTTCCAATTGAATTCATCACTTGTCTTTTTGTGTGTGGGATTGTCCGGATTGATGCAGGAGGGTGTGACATTTTCATTAGGCTGTTAATATGAATTATGTGCATATTTAATTGGAATTACCTTAGCAAATAATGTTCTTCGTTTTTCACCAATGCCAGGAGAATGTTTAATAGAAAGTTCAGCTAATTTAATATTTTAGTTGCAACAACACTTACATTCACAGCAATGAGATCAAAAATGCATCTCCTCTGGGTAAATATCATACATACTAAAAGAATGTAATCACTAGATTTGTGCAATAAAATTATAATCAAAAATCATATTCCATTGAAACTGCATCACCATATGCCAATTAAGTAAGACTACTTTCCAATTTCATAATCTTTTGACCAACATTTTGCTAATGGTTATTGATATTTATAGCTTTCATTATTCTCATTGTATCACAGGTTCATAATATTCTCATAAGATGGCAGTAAGTCATGTCACTGAATGTGCATTTTTGTTTTTTTCTTTCATGACACTTTATAAACTGCAATATTCAGGATGTGAGTCACATTACATACTTATTAGTGTGTCATTTTATTCTTTTTTTATGATACTGTGAATATGTTATCCATAATTTTCTAAATTGTGTTACTGGTATTCACAATCTTTAGTATGTAAGTCACATGTTATTTAAATGTGTAATTTTAATCTTTTCTTTTATGATACCATTGGGATACTTTACTAAACTGTGTTATTCACAATCTTTCAGGAAGTAAGTCATGTCACATGTGAATGTGTAATTTTATTCTTTTTTTATGATGCCATTGTGATGTTTTATTAAACTGTGTTATTCACAATCTTTCAGAGAGTAAGTCACATCAAATGTGAATGTGTAATTTTATTCTTTTCTTCTATGATACCATTGTGATACTTTTACTAAACTGTGTTATTCACAATCTTTCAGCATGTAAGTCACGTCACACGTAAATGTGTGATTTTATTCTTTTCTTCTATGATACCATTGTGATACTTTACTGAACTGTGTTATTCACAATCTTTCAGCCAGTAAGTCATGTCACGTGTCAATGTGTAATTTTTATTCTTTTCTTCTATGATACCATTGTGATACTTTACTAAACTGTGTTATTCACCTTCAGAGAGTAAGTCACGTCACATATGAATTTGTAATTTTATTCTTTTCTTCTATGATACCATTGTGATACTTTACTAAACTGTGTTATTCACAATCTTTCAGGAAGTAAGTCACATCACATGTGAATGTGTAAATTTATTCTTTTCTTTTATGATGCCATTGTGATACTTTACTAAACTGTGTTATTCACAATTTTTCAGTCAGTAAGTCACGTTACATGTGAATGTGTAATTTTATTCTTTTCTGCTATGATACCATTGTGATACTTTACTAAATATTATTGTGTTATTCACAATCTTTCAGGCAGTAAGTCACATCACATGTGAATGTGTAATTTTATTCTTTTCTTCAATGATACCATTGTGATACTTTACTAAACTGTGTTATTCACATTCTTTAAGGAATTAAGTCACATCACATGTGAATGTGTATTTTTATTCTTTTCTATTATGATATAATTGTGATGCTTTACTGAACTGTGTTATTCACAATTTTTTAGGAAGTAAGTCACGTCACATCTGAATGTGTAATTTTATCTTTTTTCTTCTGTGATACCATTGGGATATTTTACTAAACTGTGTATATCACAATCTTTTAGTATGTAAGTCACATCACCTTTGAATGTGTAATTTTATTCTTTTCTTTTATGATGCTCTACTAATGTATGTGTTATTCACAATCTTTTAGTATGTAAGTCGCATTACATGTGAATTTGTGATTTTATTCTTTTCTATTGTGATACTTTACTAAACCGTGTTATTCACAATATTTCAGGAAGTAAGTCGCATCTTGTGTGAATGTGTAATTTTATTCTTTTCTTCTATAATGCTATTGTTTACTTATTATTATGAATTTTGGTTTTCACAATCATTTAGAGAGTAAGCTACATAAATTGTTTGTGATTGAATTCTATTCTTTTCTTTTATGAAATCGATGTGATACTTTACTAAATTTGATTTGTAATTATAATATTGCAGAGTGTAAGTCAAATCACATGTGAAAGTCTAATTTTATTCTTTTCTTCTGTGATAACATTCACTGTGCTATTCACAATTTTATAGATTGTAAGTTCAAGTCACTTTTGAAACTGTGAATGTTACTATATTTTTCTATGTCTATACTTTTTAGTCAGTTGTAAGTTGTGAGATGTG